CTTTTACATTTGAGTTTTCATATTTAATTAGATTTATGTATAAAAACTTGATATTCCACATTGAAATGCTTAATGCAACAAATTTAATGCAATAAATATATAATAGAGGATTTTCAAATTAGCTTAAAAACGAGGGAGAATATGATACGATTTTATATATTCGAAAGCATCAATATCCAAATTACAAAATATATGGTGATTACATATTGCCAATACTGATTCACATTAATTATACATTTTAATTTATATTTTGAACAATTATTTGCTATGTACCGAGTAAATTGGTTCTATAAGCTAATTAAATGAAGTTTAATCTCTTGATGGCCGGCATGTTAATTAACTACATTTCATTATATATCTATTTCATTTTCAAGAATTTTTATTTCTTCTCATTATTCTTGTCATCTTTTGGCGCAAAAAAGAAAATATTATTTGTCTATATCATCGTCTATTATTTTCTAGATAAAATATATTATTATAATAGACCTAACATGTTTTGTATATAATAAAAATAATGGGTACTCTGCTTTAGAAGTCAGGTTTTACAATATTTAAACTGCAACTCGAATGAGGTATAAATAATGTGAGAGATTTTTCATTGCCGTTTCACATCACAGTGTCCGGAATGAGCTATTTTCAATTGGAAACATCTTTGATTTACATAAGTGAAAATTGATATACATTATGTATCCATATTAACATTCTAAATATTATGAAAATCGGTAATTACAATCAAAAAAGCTAAACATGCTGTGTGCTATAACAAACTAATCATTTTTATTAATGCTAAATTTGTTGATCTTTTAATATTTGTTGGCCCAATTTGTATTAGCTAGGTCTGGATAGTCTTTTATTATTAATATCCGTTGAGTATGCATTCCGTTCCTAGATACTGCCGAATAGTTAGAGCAAATTGTCTCCGACCGAAATGCACAAGCCCGACCATCCCACACGGCAACCGCAGTGTAACTAGTCCGCTAGTGTAGAATCAATAAATCATAACGCAGGACATGAAATGTACATAGCCGAAAAGCCCATTGTGTTAGACCGCGTTGGGCAACCTATTTTCAAAAGAGGCGACGACTGCGGACACGACTGAGATACAAGGGAGACACGGCGAATTAGATATTCGAATAAGCAAGTTAAGAGATATAAGTACACATTTCAGAATCAAGGAGCTAGTTAAATTGAGCTTAAGTGTTAAGTAGACCTGTTTCGTTTATAAGTGGCCAATCCTCAAGAACTGACTTTTCAGTCGCATGATATTTATATACTTCTTCTCGGGTTTATGTAATCGTGTAATACGATTATATATTAGTATGATCTTACAATCTGGTGAAATAATGCAGTAGGGTGTCTTCGCATACGCTTTTCATCGAATCATCTATCGCTATCGTTATAAAAGTGCATAAAAGTAGTGCCTTAAGACAAATTGCTGGAACTTTCCGTACCGCAACGAAATGTTCAAGAAATATTAAATGTTTTCAAATAAATTAATATAAATACTGTATTGTTTAATATTTATAAGAATTATGTAAACTAAATTATTCATTTGAAGTATATAAGTGGGCTCTAGAACTTTAGCTAAAATTAAAATAAAAATCAGAATTGTTTTCAATATACAAACAAAAATTGTTTTTGAAAAAAAAAAGATTTTTCCCAAAGCAATCGTTTTGTCAACACAAGCAGAAAATTTTTGAATCACTCAAACCGGATGCTTAGTTCTTTCAAAAACTACTACTTTTGGCACAATTAGCTCTGTATCTTCAAAATTGCTGAACCTACCTTTGCCAAGAACTAATCACCACTTCTCCCAATCATTACATATTGAATGTTTTTTGGATAATTCAAATCGAATGCTCTCAAAAATTCTATTTCTATTTCCTGCAATCTTTGCTTCTTATCTCCGAAACGGCTGGATCTGCTTTTGCCAAAAACTCATTAGCACATCTCCTTATTAATAGGAATCAAATGTTTTTTCAGCCATTCAAATTGGTTGTATCGTGCGCCTGAAAACGTGAATGAAAAAATGCGTACACACAAAACACACACACACATATAAAAACGCACATCAATTTTTTCTGAGGTATGCCAAAATGTTCAGAAACCTCTGAAATGTGAAGATTTCATTTTCGATTTTCGGCCCATTACTAAGATAAATATTACATACAGTTATTTATACCTAGAGGCCAATTTTTTGATAAAATAGTAATGTTATGTTGAGGGTCTATCTTCGTATGAATTGGTAATAAGAAGTATCAGAAAGCTATGTATTTGCTGTGGATTCAAGCGGTTTACACATAAACCTAACTCACCATAAAACAATTTTATCATAAGTGCATCTTTCTGATGTCTCAATGATAACACATATTTGAAGTTAAGTTTTATCTTTAAAATTTTGTGCCTGACTGCACAGCAAACACATAGATTTTTAACAGTTCTTGCTAACTATTCATTCGAAGATAGACTTGTATCATTGCCTTACCATAACATTCTATTTTATCGCAGAATGGGCCCCATAATGTATATAATATATAATGAATTATTCAATGTAATATACAATTGTATACTAGAGCAGCGGTCGAAAAACTTTTTTAATCATTACCTCAAATATTCTTGTCTAAACTCATATTACCCCCATGGCATAGAGAGAATACCCCCAAATGTTCAACTAAATAACAAATACAGTAAATATCAATAAAAAATACATATTTTTACTCCAAAAATCCATTTTTACAACATTTGTGATAACTAGAGGAAAAAATATAAGTTCAAATCAGTAGAAGGTGCATTAAACATTTATGTGACCGTTACAATGATGAGTTTTGTTTTATAATAACAAGCCGCAAAAAACCAAAAAATTAAGATATTGAATTGAAAATTTTCGATAGTTCGATAGCTTCTAAATTTTTAGAGCTTAAGTTAGGTAATACATAACTGTTATATTTTATTCTTGTTTATATTTTACTAAATTTAAACTTAACATTGTTAAGTTAACGTAGTTATTAATGAATATTAATGAATAATCTTAATAAAAACAAGTTCTTAATTTGTTGACTTGACTCAAGGATTCAAAAAAAAAATCAGGGATATTTTTCCAATAGATGATTTTTATTAATTTCTCAACTTATTCATATTTATTACATTTATTGTTGTATTCATTATTAGAATGTTTCTTAGTTCATTTCATCAATATATTGTCGACTCCATATTTTTATTATATTTTGTCACAGACGACTATGCATGCAAGATATATTAAATATATTTGAATGCCATCACATAATCGAAAAGGTTTAATATAAATCGAAAAATAAATACGCACCTCAGACATGTGTGGTAGATTTCATTTGTCAGAGCACTCCTTATTGTGCGCATTGACAGAAATCGTCTCAGTAAAAAAGAATTCTATGAAAACCTTCCTTTGTGGAAAAATTCATAAGACGCTCTGTGGTACTTTATCATTCATCGAAGTTTTACGTACCGAAGTAATGAGAAATTACAAAAAAAAATTACAAAGGTACATTTTTATTAGAAAATCTAGTATTTATGTCTTTTGAACTGACTACATGGGTTGATCTGAAAAACACAATTAAAAGCAATTTTGTGAAGGTAATTGTGCTGTCATATTTTTCATGTTTGTTTAATGTCGTAGTTCATTATCTATTTCAATTGATGAGAAAACGAAAGTTTTCTGTAATGATTCATCTTGATGAAACAATACGTAAATTCATCTGGTCATCTCAGATTACAAGATGCCTTTGAGTTTTATGATTGCAGTAAATAAAGCGTATATAAGGTGGCAATCATATAAGATTTTATTTATTCATAAGCAGCGTACTCAATAATATTAATTATCAGTCTTTTGTCAAATATGAAAACATCAATAAAATATGACTGAATAAAATTGATTAAAAAGAGGCAGCGATTTCGAATTTGCTATATTTATCCGCTTAACGAAACCTAATTAAATACCTAAAATACATTTTACTGATAAATTATTGCAATAATTACATTTTCGGTACAGCTTTAATCTTTAATCATCTTTCATTTGCTAATTATAATATTATTATGCATATTATTATATAATTCGTGTTATCTACACAAAGAGCACGCCTAATAAATTTATCATGCTAGCATATGCCTTTTGATAAAACATAGATCATGTTTTTCTTTAAAATTACTTTAACGGACACTTTGAAATTTTCTGAGGGGACGATATTAAAAATTTAATTAAAAGAACTTCCAAAACTTCTAGTGAGCACGCTTTTATAAGCGTATGTAAAATTATGTACATGTAATAAGAATGTACATATTTAATAAAAATTAACTTGATAAAAAGTTTTCAGCAGGCAATGAAACAGGGGTACTTGTATTTATAAAAATTAAAGCCAAGACTTAAGGGGGTAATTCTAGTGTAGAAATTAAAAAAATCGTTTAAAGTTAAACTTTAAAAATTATTTTTAAATTTTACGAGAGGATTTTTTTAAATTTAAATTATTTTCAAAGATACTGTTGCTTGATCATGATAATTTTCTTATGTTTTTCAAAACCGTTTTTTTCAATATGATGCCCACGATTACCAGAGTTTTACTGAACCGATTTATTTGAAATTTCCAAAGAATATTATTTATAGACTCCTTTTTGGTATATACTAAACTCATCCCCAAATCTCAATGTTTATTATATTTAAAAGTGCGAGAAACTCAAAATGTGGTTAAAAACAGTCTTTTTTACAAACTGTCGCCATTTTGTCAAAAAAAAAATTTAATATAAACTTGTGCGTAGTATGTAATCTAGCAACAACATTCTAGATCAGTAATTCTTTTTTTCTGTATTACTAGGTGGGTTGCAATGATGGGTATGATCACGTGTAAATTTTTTGGTATCCCCAATCAGCAGCTGATAATTTTTATTTTTTTTTTGTTTTTACTTTTTTTGTACTCTTGTAACAATGATAAATAAATTATACAAAATATTACATTATACAAAAAATTGCTTACCTCTTTTTTACAATGACTTCAAAATAATACCTAAAATTCATGACTCCACTCCAGATTACGCCCTTAAATAAATTATAATGGGTTAGAATTGTTAAATGACAAACAGTCCTATAATCCTATTGTTCGAGAGTGTTCTATTGTATTCTACCCTCAATAACAGGTATTGCTTCCCTGTCTGTTTGGAACGTCCATGCCCAGTTGCTTGCAGATAATTAGAACTACATCAGTCTGTTTGTACAAACGGCGGTCAAAGAATACCGCTTAAGCACTATTTCAGTAGATAGAAACCGCAAACTCCACTGCAAGAAATCGCAAGTTAAACAGATCTGCATAAAAACTTTTGCTAATTCCGTCCTTTGACCAATATATCTCACAGAGGAAAGCTCCAACTGTGAAGTCGCAAGAACTGAATTTAAATAAAGCTATTGCACGCGCACTCGTGTTATCTCAAGCCTCCTTCCTCTGGGAGCAGTCTGCAGTACTGTACCATATATATGGGTTATGCGCATAATAATGAATTTAACGGCTGTTCTGTTAAATTTACATAAAACAACTTTATTCTATTTTTTCTATTGATTTCGAAATCTTTTCTTGAGTTAAAGAATACTAAATTTGAAAAATGGTTTCATTCCGAAGGAGCGATCTAAAACAACACGTCACGTCTTGAAAGTTTCATAAAACACTTTTCTTCCAAACATAAATTCTTTTAAATCAAGACCCTTCTTTGTACAAACACAAACTAACTTGTACAAAAGTACCTACTTAGATATAAAGAGACAACAATAGACATAATCCGGGCACGCACTAACTATAGAAGTAAAACTTCTCAAAAGTTACTTGAAAACTTAGAGGCATATATATATATATATATATATTAACAAAGTCTAGTAATCGGGAATAATATCAATTAAAAACATGATTTTTTTTTCAAAAATTCATTTTACATCCACGTTTTACGTTTCGGTTATAATCCTAGCCTTCATTCTTTGGAAACTAAAAATAAAATTAAAAACAGTTGAATTGGAATACTTACAATTAGTTAATCTTACTGCTAAAATAGAAAATTCAATAATACATGGTATCATGATATGGTAATGCACTACAATTATATAAACTTTAAATTTGTAATTAAATAATATTTCACAATATACTGAATTTGAAAAATCACAGATAGATAGTCAGTAATATATGTCTTGTTCGTAAATTAGTAGCAGTCATAATAGAGAAAAGATTGTTTGAAAATATTTTTACCAAGATTTTACACATATGTGGAACGACGGACAATTGTCCTAGACACTTTAAAACTATGCTTGCGGACCACATTAATACTTTAAAACACAATATAGATTTTTTTTTAACCCGACTGTCTATTACTCGAACAAAATTTATTTAAACGAAGAATTATAGAATTCGACTAGTTATAACAATAATAGGACAATAAATAAGCAAAATGATCTCAACACGCTGTGCGACTCAAATCTCTTTTATTTACATAGCATTCCAAATTCCTCACAAAACAATAAAAATGTCGGGAAAAGGATTCGCAATTCGTTCTACACATGTGTAGAAATAATAAATTATATAATTTATAACACTAAGATTAACTAATTTAAGTACTTTTTACTCTTCATATTTGTTTCAGTTTTTAATTTTATTTTTATTTTTCACTGAATGAAGGCTAGAATTATAGCCGAAACGTATGGATGTAAAATAAATTTTTGAAAGAAATTCATGTTTTTTATTGATGTTATTCCCGATTACTAGACTTTGTTAATACATATGTCATCATCAAATATTCTTAATTATAAATTTCATTGTGAAATAGTATTATTGAAGCGAATAAAAATTTAAGCAAAGTTATCTTTCTCAATTATTTCCTCAAGTAGATGATTAAAATCATTATTAATTGAAAAACTTTTTAATGACCTGACGTTCTGGAGCGAAATGAAAAATATATCTTTAAATTACAAGATATGATTGATTTTTTAATCACGATCTTTGTATACACGATTATTATATTGCTGATTACGCTCTGAGAAGCATTAAGGAATTGAATATCGCTCCTGGACGCATTAATTAATTAAATTTACCTTTAGCATTATGCATGCTTTTAGAAAATATAATCACATTTATTACTCTGTATCTAACCTTTAATTCCCTTTACGTCTTCTGAAATAAGATAATAATTCTTGCACTTCGATGCGAAAACACCAATTAGTGAACTTCTTTTAAAGTCTCAATTATTTTTTACTGCTGTAGTGCAAAATATTTTAGCGTTTTTAAATTAGATGTTCAATAATGGTTCTTTCGAGAACACTTACCTGTGATAGGTTTTGCTGCCTTGTTATGTTTATGTGCTTTTTTTGGTGGTTGAAACTGTACTCTGGCTTCCTAAAAAAAAGAAAGAAGTTAACTAAAACTCCCATAATTATATAATTGAAAGGCGAAGAAACATGTTTTCGCTAAGTTTATAACTGCAAAGTTAGCATATATGAAACGGAAATATTTTGTAGTACCTATTGAAGGAGTTTAAAATATTACTTTTAAGAAATATTTTTCGTTTTGTTGTCAATTTCCAAGTTTAATACGAACTGTATGAATAATTTTCCGGATTATGTTATATCATCCCGTTTTTAAACTTTTTCTAACTCTGCATTTCTCATCATAAACTGAACAGCAGGGTGCATTAAAGTTCACTATAAGTTTTCGTTAAAGTTTTAATAAATATTGAAGTTCTAAGCGATTGCCTACTTTTAAACTTTCTTGCTCCTGATTAATATTTTAGCAGATAATAAAGGAATCAAAGGGAAAAGTTTGAAAACATATTTTAAGCCGTTTATCTATACACGCAAAATAGGTTTTTCATTTAGTTTTTTTTAAATTAGCCAACAATTAAAGTTCATACATAAATATACTACACGTTTGATAAATAATGCTTGTGTGATATATTATTACTAGTTTGTGGGATTGAATAACATATTTCTTTTTTGCTGATACATTCCAAATAATCTTCATCTTTTCAGATTCATAAAAGTTTCATTGAATGTATTATTCTAAGCGATGCAGAAAATTAGTTACGTGTCGACAGGCGTTTTGATTCGAGTGATATTTATTCATACACGATATCGTTTACAGATGACGAATTGTATGATTATTTTTATTTATTAATAATTTAATTTCAAATAATACTTCATAAATTTGGTGTAACACCCGAAGTGGTGAAAATAACTCAGTACATAAACATAAGTGCGCGATGATTGTGTGAATTGCCAAAAAATTTGTAGATGTATAATGTAGATTTTATGTACAGACTCATGGCTAGTTAAACTTTTCTTAATAATAATTTCAATAACGATAACTCAAGTTTTCAATTAAAACTCTCATTACTATCCGAAATGAAGTCGGACTCTCCAAAAAAATGCTCAGCACTTTAGAGAGTTTAACATGTCTAGTTGTAGATTAAAAAACATTTTAAACATGTGATCATTTATCATTTTAACAAGATTTATCTATGTCGAGTCTGCTAAGAATTTTGTACTAGTTTCGTATATTACAGTCTTTTGTATTAAAAAACTAAAAAATACAAAATGAAAATCTCATCTTTGTAAGCAACCAGCCATGCACTAACTCATAGTGAAAACCGCCGGAATTTTTCAATTATTCATCGTTGTACGCCAACGCGTTCTAGGAAGAATAATGAAAGCCTCTGATAAGACAGAGTTTTTATGAAAATTTTATGACTATTGTAACCATAAATCTAACCTCAGATGGAAATTAACTCTTGTTTTAATAATTCATAAGCAGATCTTTGCAGAAGTTCCACTCGCGTATTTGGCTCCGAAATGCTTTTGAACCAAAATCGAACAATGGGTTTATAATTATGAATTAATCTCGACGAAGCTTTCGCTGAAAATACTTAATTTTTTACTTTCTTATTAATCATCAGCAGTTCATTTCATATTTTTTTCTATTCTTATGATATCTATGATGGTATTGCAATGTTAAATATAGTGATTATATTCTCTTTCTAGAAATAATGTTTATTCAAATAATGTTTGTTTTTTATCAAAAAATTCGCATATTATGTTTTCTCGGCGTTTCAAGCTATTCTGAATCAAATGAGACCAAAAAGTATGTATGTGTGTCTATGTCAACAGGTTTCAAAAATTTAAGACATTCGATGTATCTTGATGAGGACTAGCGTTTATCAATTTTGTGCGACGATCAGCCAAGCCTTTTCTTTATAAATAGTTTTGTCCACGTTTTAGCCTGCAATTCTGAATCGATTTTGAAAAATCAAAAACAGTTTTTTATGAAAGTTTTTTTTGGCGATATATATCATGGTCTTATAGAACTTACTGAAATATTACGGCCTTACGACGTAGTTCAGTTTTAAACATCCATCAAAGTTTGAAAATGAGGAGTTTTTCTGACGTTTGTTAAAATTAAAATTGGACGATTGGTATAACGATAGAGTTCTTGGTCTTAATGAACATAATAAACCATTAAAGTCCTACAGAAACTGGTTCAATTATAAAAAATATTGATTTTTGAAAATGTGCTTTTAGAAAATACTCTGAGTTAACGTGTTCGTTCGTTTTCAATTATGTGTAATAAATCCACTCGGAGTACTTTTAATCACTTATAAATTAATTTATTTTTCATTGATTTAGTCGATTATTTACACATATCGGAAAGTTCATGTAACTTGCCCCAAGGCAAAATACCAATATCAACTAGCTTACTCCAAGATTAGCTCAACTCAAGTATTTACAGTCTTCAATGTATTTAATAGATTTTAATTAAATTAATTAAAATAATTAGATAGAAAAAAAATGAATCAATGTTTTTATGTGTTTATCTCCAACACAGAATAATTTACAAACAATGTTATTCTTCAAGTGATCCAAACTACTTAATACTTTTAGTGTTTCGCTACCAAGTCGGACAAAGTAAGTTCTGAAGTAGTTTTGTCTTTTATTTACATTTAATATCCACGCCATAGAATGATCCGTTTATTGTCTTATCTGCCGAGTCCCAGATAGATTGCCATGCAGACGGGAGACCGCAAAAATCGATAAAGGATTCTCTCGCAGTTTTTGCTAGACACATGCACGGGGCATTGAGTGAAACTTAATTTATTAACCGAAAAAGTAGAACTAATTGGAATTACTTAACAAATAACATTTAACAACAGTGACCGAACTTATCAGCCGCATGCGTACGTTACCATGTATGTAATCTAATGACAAATTGTTATTTACATAGAATACATGATATCCTGTTCAACACGTTTCTGACCACATTGATATTGATAATAGTATTGTGTT